GAACTCCGTATTCCTCCTTGGAGGCGAGAGACACTCTCTGGACTCACTCCCTGAGAGACATTGCAGCTGACAAAACAAATGGACCTAGACTAGTGCCCTGAGCTGGAGGATCCACGTGGAGACCCCTGCCAGTGCTGAGATGCTTACAATGCCACTGAATCCACAAGGCTTCCCAACCACTGGCCTGTAATCCTCCTGCATTCTGCGACATTGCATGTGTTATGTGAGTCTGAAGAGGACTTTATAGATTGATTTCGGATATATGGGCTAGTATCGGACTTATGGACTTGATAGGGACTAGGATGGGATGTTTTCTTAAGGTACAATTACTCTTGAAATCAAGTTCTTTCTTATACATATATGCATGTCTCTGGATTTGTTTCTCTACTCATCCCAGACTAACACACATAAATATGTGGGCTTTCATGTAAGTATGGATATAGTTTTATAATGAATGCCAAGTGGAATTTTCAGTGTCTGAACTTGAAGGCAAATTCTCCAATCTAGATATAAATAAATAAACACACAAACAAATAAGGAAGGAATAAAGCTCATTTCACCAGGAGCCCTAGTAGTGTACTCTTATACATTGGGTTGCTAATCTCAAAACCAGCAGTTTGAAACCACTAGCTGCTCCACTGGAGAAAAATGAGGCTTTCTACTCCCTTAAAGAATTATAGTCTTGGAAAGCCACAAGGGCTATTCTATCCTGTCCAATAGTGTCGCTTTTAGTCAAAATCTACTCGATGGCAGTGAGTTTTTGAGAAAGCTGTTTTCAACTGTGAAGCACACAGGACTCATCTCCTGACTAAAACGGAATTGCAAAGTCGATTTATTGTTCTTTTTTATTGGATATTCAGTAGTATTATTAAAAGAAAGATTTGTGCTATAAGAGAAATCCATGGTCTTTTTAGTAGTCTAGTTGATATATGCAATTTGAAAAATTAAAAAGTGATTCATAATCACTACTGGCAGCTCTACATAAAATTTGCAAATTAAAATTGACTGATGGGCAAAATGCTCAAGCCAAAGGAATATAATATTATTGGAAACGCAATACATAGGAAATTAAAATTTTTAAATGGTTTCCTAAAATCTAGTATGATTCCTATTGAAACAGTGAAATATATTTTCAATAATAATTTACTAAGCATATTCTCAAGGGCCATATAATGCACACAATATTTTTTATTTTGCTACTGAAGAATTAAGTGTCTCAATTTTT